TGATTCTATGATTCTATGATTCTACTGTAAATTGTCATGGAATCAATGGCATTGCACCGATTTATACAGCCAAAACCTTTAGTTATAAACTCTGTATAGTAACTTCAAACCTTTTCTTTGTTAGTGGGTTTCTTGGTCAGTATGGCTTTTTGACCTTGTCTTTTGTAATGGTGTAAGTATCACTTTTTCATTTTTAATCTTCTAGTGTTAATGAAGTACATGATCCTACATATCAATACAGGGTTGACACAGGTAATTTCCAGGTAAGTCAGAAATGTTTTCTTGCTATTAAATTATCAGGTAGAGTTAGGCAATACAAGGAGGTGGAGATTGTTCTTCTATTAAAATCTATAACACGATTTAGAAAATAGCAAATGCTGGTCAGATGGTCTTACTCTGACTAGGGTATTTTTAATTTTGCTTGAGGTCATGCATGGGCCATATTGAGCTCCATCCCAATGAGAAGAGTAAATTGTCTTGCAAATCTGGAGACTGAACACCACAAGTTTAGTCACAGACTCATGACTGTTGGGGTTGAAAGGAATTTTTTTAAGCCTCTTATTAAGTCAGTTTTGTACATCTTTACTCCTGCTAAGATCCTCTGTCCTAGTAAGTTTCAGACTTTCTTGTTGTAAAGGAAGATCTGATTTATATGGGTCCTTGTATTGTTCTCAGGAGCTGTGGTTTTAGAAAATCATTGAGATTCAGCTCACTGTGAGCTCAGTGAACAAAATTATGACTTCTATTAAACATTCTTTCTTTACATTCCCCAAAAACCTACCTTGATATATAGCCATCCTCATTTTGTACTTCCTTTCATGAGACTACTTTCCCTGAATAAATGGACTATGTTGTGCTTTGGGAAATGGTGATTTCTATTGAGGGAAGAAGGAATAGACCAAATCTCGTTAAATAATGAAAACTAACACTCTTCTTATAGGGAATGAAAATCTTCTTCCTTGTGGTGGCAACCACATACATTCTATACCTTTTGTTCCTGATAGTGAGGGCATGCTCAGAACTTCGTAACATGCCTTACGTTGGTAAGGAATATTTCTTTTGATTCTTCCCCAAACAGGCTTGCTTCTCCTAGATGTAGGTGTAAATTCGCTAATAACAACTTCTCTCAATCTTTTTCAGATCTCAGGTTAAAATTCTTGACTGCATTAACCTTTGTAGTGCTTGTCATTAGGTAAGGCATTTCAAAGTACATTTCTCAGTACTGTAACTTCTATAACCTTTTTTTCAGGGCTTTGAATACATTTTGCTGATAATAAAATTGTCAATGAAACTAAGGAATGTCTTTTGATATGATTGTTATGGCAAACGTTTCTTAATTTTTTAACCCTTCTTGAGGCTTTTAGAGCTAACTTTATATTATTTCCGTTACAACAGCAATACACTGCGAGATTTAGAGGTTCGCTTAGCTGAGATGTTTTCTGTACTGCTGAGTGGTCTGCAGTGCACCATTCACCTCTTTTGGAGCTTTGTAAGCTTCACTTAGTCAAAGCAGAAGTTTAGAATTAGTTTCTTAGATTATTGTTAACATCTCTCTCCCCCACTCCAAGCAGTTATTTCAAATTACTGCTGACTCTTGGATTGTCTGTAGTGGATGAAATCTGAGGGAAATAGACCATGGAGGGGGGTGTTCCGCTTTACTTAGTTGACTGCTGACTTTTAATCACGAAAGAATCATTCTTGATTTAGAACTATGAAAGCAAATGTGTCTTAAAATAAATGGTCAGCCTGTTAACATAATTATTTTCTCATATACTCTTCTGTCAAGCCACCATTTAAATTTTGTGGTTTAAAGACACAGTGCATCTATAAGCTTTAACTTTTTTCCACAGCATTGTTAAACTCACACCTATATGTTTTAACTTTTTTCTACAGCATTGTTATACTCTACCTACGCTTTGGAGCACAAGTTCTACAGGACAACTTTGTTGCTGAGCTGTCGACTCATTATCAGAATTATATCCTTGTGTTGTGATACTGCTCAACTAGGAATGTTAATCTGTTTTCATACAGAAGGTACTTAAAAATGATGTACCTAAGGACTGAGACCTTTGACTTCTAGGTGGGCTTTTGAAGTTCAGCCCATTTTGATCGCCATTTCCTGTCAGCATTTTGCAATGGCTCTTTGTAAAGGTTGTGAGCTGAGACAGTTTCAGTCTAATTTGTTTACATCACATAAATCACAACTGCATTTGATACTCTTCAAGAGGAATGAAGGCCTAGATACCCATGCATTCAACTAATTTTAACAAGTTATTGTGACAAATTTGGCTGTATTTGCTGCATGAATTCAGTTTGCTGTATACCTATCAGTTGGAATGGGGCATACCAAAATATTTGAGAAATTAATAGTTTAGAAGTCACTGGAAATGTGTTTGTGTATTGGTCCAAGTCTACATGTGGAAGAGGTCATAGCAAAGAATTTAAGTGACTTGAGAGAGACTATTTCTGATGTCTGTTGGCAACAGGATTACAAACTGTATTTCTGGACCTGAACCATGAGATCCTAGTTCATTCTACTTTCTGAAAGTGCCTGTGTAACTGCAATGCTCCGGTTACGGATAAGCTTAGATATGTGTTGGGAGCTAGTAGAAAGCAATATGTAAACCCTTTAGTATTTTCCCAAAATGATGGCAAGAAGCCATCTTCAGAGTTCTATCTACAGATAGTCCTTTCTCCTTCCTTCTCAGTTGCTGTGCCAAGCAAGAAGTTTTTTAAAAATAAACAAAACAAAACAAAAAAACCCACCTGAACACCCCCCTTCCTCAGCTTTCTTTTAGCATTGAAAGCAAAACTATTCCATTTACCATGCACTCCGCCACTCAAGAGTAGACCTTGTCTCAGGAAATGTTACTTGTGTTAAAGCTTTGTCTTCAGTGGGAGCTTTACCTCAAAATAGCTTGAGTACATTAGTTGTGTCGTGGTTTAACCCCAGTCTGGCAACCAAGCACCACACAGCTGCTCGGTCACCCTCCCCCCCCGGTGGGATGGGGGAGAGAGTTGGAAGGGCAAAAGTAAGAAAACTTGTGGGTTTAGATAAGAACAGTTGAATACTTGAAATAAAATAATAATAATGATGATGATAATGATGATGATGATGTAATGAAAGGGAAAACAACAAAAAAGAGAGAGGAACAAAACCCAGGAAAAACCAGTGATGCAACTGCTAACCACCTGCTGACCGACACCCAGCCAGTCCCCAAGCAGCAATCACTGCTCCCCTGCCAACTACCTCCAGCTTATATACTGAGCATGACATCACATGGTATGGAATATCCCTTTGGCCAGTTTGAGTCAGCTGTCTTGGCTATGCTCCCTCCCAGCTTCTTGTGCATCTCCTCGCTGGCAGAGCATGGGAAGCTGAAAAGTCCTTGACTTAGTATAAGCACTGCTTAGCAACAACTAAAACATCAGTGTGTTATCACATTAGTCTCATGCTAAATCCAAAACACAGCACTATACCAGCTACTAGGAGGAAAATTAACTCTATCCCAGCTGGAACCAGGACAAATGGTCATTGAATTTAAAAAATGCAATTTTGTTTAGCCATTCATGCTCTCAAACTTCAGTAGGGTAAACATTCTTTCCGTTGAAACAGCTTATGTATGGTTTGGGTCTTGTTTTAATATGTATGGAGATATATCGAGCAATATCCTTGACACTTACTACCAGCAGAATTCTTATCATTTTATGGTTTATTGAACTTTTATCTCTACACATTAGCCTTCGTGTATTCCCCCTCAAAGAATGCACTATATGGTAAGTGTAAGCAATTATCTGGCAAGATGAGAAGAGCTGGCATATTAACAGATACGGTGTAACATCTTTATATTTTGCTTGTCTCATTACTGTTTCATTTTGCTTTGAGTTAACATAAGCAGAAGCTGCACTGCTCCTGAGCAAGTTAGTATTGGAAATATGAAGGAACACTTAAAATGTATACAACTGATTAGCTAGACTTGAATTCTTGTGCACTTAGATCAAGCTTATAGTCAATATGATGTTTGCATATAAAGCACTAACTTTTGCACTGACTCACAGACAATCCTTAAGGAGCAACAGTACTTCATTTGTACTTTGTTCCAACAGTAAGGTTAATATATTGGCATGCTGGCAAACTGGACTCTGAAACAGGTAACGTGCTGTTGGAAAAGTAGGAGTGAAGCTGATCTCTAACATGGGGGAATTTTGGAGAACTTGCTATGGGGAGAGGGCTGCACAGAGCCCATGTAAAGGGAGATAAAGGACTGAATCAGTGGCACTTCTGTTTTTGCATTCCTACATAGAGGATATAATCTGACTCACATGGTGATTATAAAGCATTATCCCTCTCTAACAGATAAAGATTCTGTAAAAGAAATATTTATACTGAGTGCATTCTCCGCTTTAAGCATTGAGTTTGAAATACAGAACCTTAGAACAGCCCAGGTTGGAAGGGACCTGGAAGGATCATCTGGGAAAGGGAGCCTAGATGAGATTATCTGCACCCTGTCCAGTCACATCCTGCATGCTGAGAGGTATGCAGAGGGAGGCACTAAATAGTGGAGCTGGTCCTTCCTCTAAACTTCTTAGAGTTGAGATGGATGGAACTGTTACAGAAAAATGCTATTTTTCCATTAAGACAAGACAAATGGCTGGATGAGGATAAAGTTAAAAACTTGCTGTTAGGTTGCGAGAAGTATTAGTTTACAGACGGGAGGAAGTAAATAGCTGCCAGAAAAAAGATATTTATGGCAAACTGCTGGATTGAATTTTACTTGCATATAATTATGAACTGCAGCTAAGCAGCACAGATGATGCAAGAAATGAAGGCCTTAAAACAAGGTAGAGGGAATTGTCATAAATAGCCAATGGGAAGTGTCTGTTTCCTTTCATGTCACCATAAAGGTACAAGTCCTTCCTTCATCTATTACAAGGATGTAAATAACTAATCATTGACTTGCATACAAGGGATTACAACTTTGGTCTACTATATTTGTAGCTTAGAAATAACCAAGAAGTTAATGAAGTCTGCACTTTTTAAATATATATGAACTTTTGAATAATGATTAAGAATAATGAAATATGACTTAATCACTCTCATGTGCAGGTTGAAATAATATGACATAGGAAACTGCACAAGGGAAGAAATCCGCTTATACAACATGGAGGATATCTAAAAATAAGACGAGATAATGATGTCATCTCCTTAACTCTTAAGAATGCCATGATGTTGTGGCTGAAGGGTGAAGAATTTAAAGGAGAGAATTCCTGTTTGGATATGGTTTTGTTGAATTGCAGTTGTGACTGCCTTGGAAGTTGTTGAGTCTTTGCTTCAATCTCGGATTAGAAGTACAGCCACATTTCTATATTTAATATGCTAAATTAACTGTTATTTGTATTTTCCAGAATCACAGTTGAAAGACAATCCTGCTTTTTCTATGCTGAATGATTCAGATGATGATGTGATTTATGGGTAAGATTATAAAATACCTATGGAGAGTTACTTTCGGTGTGTAATTTTTGTAATGTTCTTTTCCATATTCATTAAATAAGTGAAGGCTTTGTAGATCGTTAGTGAAAGTATTCTGCCTAAAGAACTGAAACAGCCTTATTCTGAAACAGAAATGCAATAAGAACGCATGTTACTTTGTTTTTTCTTTTTTTGGTTTCTAAAAGGGATTGCCATGGCACTGATACAAACAGGTAAGAAAGTGTTAGGATGCTGGTAGGTCATGGAGTGAAGGCAGCAAGAGACATGAAAGGAGAGGACTTCCTCTTAAACTGGGAAGGATTGCAGGAGTCAGGTGGAGTTAGCAAAGAGGCAGCTCATATGTATACGCCACAGAGAAGGATAATGGCTCTTCTTAAGTGTCCATCACTTACTGAAATAAAAATAATCAAATCTAGCAAAACTTCCTGGACTTGTGTGAGTTTACGTAATAAGAGAATTATAGCAACCCTTAAAACGCATCCAGGTAAGGTGTCTCTGTGCTAGACACTGAACAAACTCATTATCTGCCCTTGAAGTTTTCACCTCTTACCAAGGACACTGAAGTGGTTGGAACAGTGAGGATGGGGTTAATACTGCAGTAACCTGAACACGTTTGTGTTAGACTAGCTATACGCATTGTCTGAGATAGCTTGCCTTTGTTTAGATGGATGAGTAGTGGTAGTACCAGCTTGCTTCTCTATATCCTTGTGAAGAGTGGCTTGTAGATACTGGAATAGCTTTTATTATGCATCATCCTCTGGAGAGAAGTCATATATATTGTTCATATCTCCAGCAAGGAAGGAAAACAGATACCACCACCTTACCCAACTAACAATTTGATGCCTCAATGTAGTTTAGAACTTTCCTGTTTATTTTGGACTTCCTATCTAAACACTGTGTTCAGAATTTTTAACAAGTATCTGTTTCACAGGAGTGACTATGAAGAAATGCCGCTTCAGAATGGCCAAGCTATTAGAGCCAAGTATAAAGAGGAATCGGACAGTGATTGATTTTGATGTAGACAGACTTGTTCAGCTGGAATTAAACCAATTTTGAAGTTTTCCTAGATGGACAACTTCCTTGGCTTTCTTACAGTCTGCTGTCATCTGAACACCGACTCCCAGGAAGGAAATCCTGCTTCTCCTTCTGTTTACAAAGTTAAACTGAAAAAAAGAATGCTTGAAAAGGTTGTGGTGAAAACTTAAGAAACCAAAATTTTTACACATCTTGTAAAATGCCTGATAGCAGGATGTCTGTGGACTAAAATCTTTAAGTCTATTTCCATTTAGAACTGTCACTGATTATATGCTGATTTTAAAATTGCTTCCTTGCTGCTTGGTTTTTGGATTTTTTTTTTTTTTTGAGGATTATGTACAGCATGCTGTCATTCATCTGTTGCATTTGTGTTATTAGCTCCTTTGTATATTGTCCACTGCTGTACGAAGTGCCTCATTTCCCTTTCAATTTTCTACCTTAGTCTTTTGAACTGGAGACAGGGAATGAAGTGGTTTAGGGTTTTCTCTTTTTTTTTTTTTTTTTTTTTTAAATGCAAGAAAACACAAGCTTTCCATTCTTCCTTTGAAGAAGCGATATAGACTTAAGACCATTTTTTAAATTCATTTAAATGAGTTTACCAGATTTGTAAGTGCGAGATATGTGCAAATAGTCAAGTTCTAGTGAGCCAAAATAGCCTCAGTGGTGCAAAATTATTTGTATAATATATGTTTCATAACATGCTTTGCCGCCACAACAGAAGTGGTTGGTTTGTTTTTTGTTTTGTTTGTTTAAACAGCCCTTTCAAATGGAAATATTTAGGCAGCAACACATCTCAGAAGGAAACCAGTACTCTTCTTTCTGGGTTTTTTGTATGCTGGAGCAGACTGTTACACTTACAGAGAATACAGTATGAAAGTTTCATAGAGAATTACAATTTCTAATTTCTAAACATTTCATTTTTAGGGGCTTTTTCTACATTAGAATTTTTCCTTAAGTTGTATTAATAGATAGTTAATCTACATCCTAGGAACAATCGTGGTTGCTCATGTATTGAATGTGCATGAGAGTTAGCTTTTGAGCATGTTCTCTGCATAGTTCAACTTCTCATACCACCGTCGCCACCTGTACTGATCAAAACTTTTACTAGCACATTTTGTGATTATCTGTATTCCAGTCTGTGCTGGAACAGAGTTACATGGGAATTCCTAGTACAATGCTGCTGCTGCTTCTCTATTTAAAAGTTGGTTTTCTCCTACACCATTGTTCAGTTCTTTATTTAAGTGGAGGCTGTCTGTTTCTAACTATTTTTGTTTTCAGGTACTTGACCTGTCTGAAAGTATCTTTTTTTTCATGGTTTCGTAACTGTGATTTACTCTTGTAAAATTTCTCTGCCCTGCTGCTGTAGAAAAGACTCTCAAAAGCACTGTTAATGTATTAGACAGAAGATGGTGCTGGCTTACACTAGGGAATTGTGCTCATCGTTGAACTAGTTTAAGCAGAAGAGGGCAATGAAGTCCTACTAGACTTGCTGAATCACACTGGGGAAAAAGTAGATTTGTTCTGCTTTGATGCAACAACTGTTCTAGACCATTCCCATTGCAATAATCTCCTGGTAGCTGTTCCAGATCATGAAAGGGAGGCTTCAGAGGATAGCAAGTTGCTTAGAGAGGACCAAAGGAACTGCTTCATGTGGTGGCATCCTTGCTGTCATAGAATAGTTCAGATTAAATCAGTGCTCTGCTAAAGACAAGGGTGGTAAGATACTCCGTGTGTGTGAGAGAGAGAAAACTTTCTAAAATTATGTAGAGCTGTGAAATTTTTTGAGGGTATTTGAAGTTTAAAACTTTCTGTACCAGGGATCATTTATTTGTTGGAAGCCAAAGCACTATTGTATGGCTAAAGCAAGGAAACTGCTGGAAGGGAGGGGAAGGTTTTTTCCTTTCATTTCTTAATTAATTGGTGCCAGTTTAGAAGAACATATAGAAAAACAGTATTTCAAGTTAGCGGTGGTGTTTTTTTTCCCCAGTGAATTGTAGCAAGCTGTACCTTCAGCACTTCCTTTTAGACTTTTTTTTAACAAGTATGGGAGATGATCTTTATACCCTAAAAGAGGAGAGCCCATTCTCATTTTTACCTTTCCCCAGGTGACTCTCTTGAGGCTTACAGCTGTTTGAATTTGCAGTCAGACTTGGGAGCTAACTAGGCATCCTTTGCAGATCCCAAATCCTTTTGACTTCCATTGGAGTAACAGTGGGTACAGGAATTAGGGCTTCAAAAACTGGTATTGACATGATCCTTATGCATTCAGATCTTTTTGGCTCTGATATTGTTTAATTCTGTTCTAAATTGTTCTGAATAGACAAAATGTTTGATTTGACCAACGTGCAAAGTATACTAATGTTTCTTATCACAGTCTGAACTGGTTGTTACAGTTGACCCTGAAATACAGTGTCATGCTTTGGGATTTCATTAACTAAAGAAAATATTTTTAATCTATCTTCAAGATGATGATTTTTTTCTAAGCTGTTCTCAGCCCATTTCACTTGCCGTTTTGTTTGCATTAACTTTTCTACATCACTACATTCGAAGCGGAAATAGGAAAGCTGAGAATGGGAAATGTGTACTTAAAATAAGTATCTCGCTATGAAAATAGTGAGAAAATAGTTTCCTTGTTAGTTTTTAGAGATTATATTTAAGCAATGTTTGCCATGCAAAATAGTTTTGTATTTTGGAAGTGCTAGAGTGTAATGGTAAGCTTGGTTGAAGCACTGTCGCATCAAATTCAACATACAGTAAAAAGGCAAGAGCAGCAAAGCAGATGAGGAAATAGTTTTGCTAACAAGAAATCTCAGTTTCACTCCTCTTATTTCCACAATTGGAAAGCAGAGACAGTATTTGAGGAATATTACAATATGGATTGTAAACAGCTTGGGAGTAGGTGGCATAAATTCACCTCTGAGTAAAGTATTGTAACCTAAGGGTGAAACAGAAGAGTTCTGGATAAGAAACTAGCCTGGCTTTCCATTCATTACTGCTAAAGTAATTAAATATTTCCATCACTGTATAAAATGTACAACTGTATAAAATGAGAAAAGTACGCAAAAAGGCCCCACAGAATACAGTGTTCCTGCTCTAAAGGAGATGTTGTCTATTAAAGAACTGCAAGACTTCAATGTACACAATGATCAAGAGGACTTTTAAGAAATCAGTAATCACCGAGTGTGAGCCATGCATGGCAACCATTTTCTGTAGTATTTGCTTTAAAAATACAGTTGATGTTGGAATTGGTTGGAAACTTTCCTAGGACAGGCAAGCAGGAAGCGTAAGGCTTAAGACCAGTAAGGAACAGCTAGTGCAACAGACCTGTGGCACTAAGGCTGAGGAAAAGGGAAGGATGGTTCCAGCTAGGAAAGACTTTGATCTGTTGTCTTTCTCTGAGCCAAAAGATAACTTACTTTGTATCCACAGTCACCTAATTTTTCCCCCATTTCCTTCTGCTTATGCCAGTAATAACCTTTCCATTACTGTAAAACTTTTTTTAGAAGTTTGTAAATATGTAAAATGAAAATATTGAAGAATTGTGTACCAAAATGGTATAAAAATGTGTAAGATAAATGCTCTGTTTAATGAGAAGCTGTAATTAAATGCTGCTTTCAGAAAGTGTGCATGAGGACATGCGTTAAATATTCTATGTGTCTAGAAGTTGTGTTAATGACAGCAAATTATCCATTTATGTTGGAAAACTTCATGCTAATATGGAATATGAAGGAAAAAACAATATTTTACTTCAAGCAAAAGTTGGGTATTGACTTTCTTGGAAGACTTCATGTGCATAATCATTGTTAAAATATGTTCATAATAAAGTTTTATATCTTTATATTGTATCTTGGTTTTCTTTTCCTTCTAGTGAATGACTAACTGTACCATAACTTACATGTATTTTCAGTTTACATGTATTTTCTTATGCATATTTAAACTTTGTTAATTGCATATGGATGGGATCCAGGAGACTGTGTCAGCACAGATTAACCAGGGAATTATGTTTTGGGTTTGGGGTGGTTTTTTTATTATTACCCTGCCTGGGCTGGAAGGTGGAAGGGCAGGTTGCTAATTTTCCTAAGAAATACGATAGCCAGTTTACAAAGGGGACCTGGCATTCTCAAATGGCTTAACAGTGGCTTTGCAAAGCCTGCTGCGGTCATGCTGGCAGCAAAACTCCCCTTGGTGAATGTTAGCGCCAGCTACCGTTCTGCCAAACGTGCGTGCTTCACCTTAGCTGCTGTCAGATGCCTCTGCCAGCAGGGCTGTAAGTTCTCCTACTTACCCTGCAATGATGCATCCTCTCGGCACACCTGAGATGGGCTGCCCCACCTTCGACCCACAGGCCAGTAATAAAAAAAAGGTTTAGAGATGGTGAAGATGCTGCTGTCATTCATCCCCTTCTTACAGCTCTGTATCTGAGGGCACTGGGGTTGTTTAGCCCAGAGAAAAGGAGGCTGAGGGGAGACCTCATTGCGCTCTACAACTACCTGAAAGGAGGTTGTAGCGAGGTGGGTGTTGGTCTCTTCTCCCAAGTAACAAGCGATAGGACAAGAGAAAACGGCCTCAAGTTGTGCCAGGGGAGGTTTAGATTGGGTATTAGGAAAAATGTCTTCACAGAAGGGGTTGTCAAGCACTGGAACAGGCTGCCCAGGGAAGTGGTTGAGTCACCATCCCTGGAAGTATTTAAAAGACATGTAGATGTGGTGCTTAGGGACATGGTTTAGTGGTGGACTTGATAATCTTAAAGGTCTTTTCCGACCTAAACTCTAGGATTCTGTGATCTTCCAAGAGTCTGTTCATAGCTGGTAGATTGTCACCCTCTATTTGGGGTGATGCCATTCCTTGTATAAACTTGAGGAGAGACTGAAATTTCATTGTGTGCTGAATAAAACAGCTGTAAACATCTCTGCACAAATGTATACTCAGCTTACTCCTGCTTTAGTATCAGAGACAGCAGTGCTCATTTACTAGC